ACAACAACAAATCCCATAAACCCCTCTTTCCAACCTATGTATGACCTTTATCATTCTTCTAATCTGCCAATGTAACCGTTCAACAGGTGCAATTAGAGGGCATCAATCTGCTTCTAGATTTATTACTTACGTGCAATGACTTGGAAAAGTTCCACAATATTTACATAAAAGGACTCAATCAGGCCAAGTGGGACTAAACAGCAAGAAACATGAAAAGTAAGTGTAGGCATTATTAGACAGTAGGAGAAGGGAGTGAGAATAGATACCTTTTCCAGATCAAGAAGAGGGGTGGTAACAGAGATGAATTGCTGCGAAGAAAGAGGTGATGCTTTGTTATTATTGGCGCCTCTCTTCATTGCTGCTATGTAAGGATTGCAGATATAGAACAGATCGAGAAAATTGTATCTTTAGTACAACACAGCATGAGCATGCTTGTGCACGTGGGGATATGGATTTGCTCGTTGCATTTTGACTCGTTCAAGTCTTTATTTAACATGGATAATAAATATCTGTGAATGATGTATGGACTTTGAGATTGCTGCATGAACCTGGACGAAATTCTGGTAACCGGGAACAAAGCTTGCTCAACTAACAAACAATTGGGTCATTGTAAATTTGTAATACTAATTACATGATTGACTTGCGACTACAATTTAGCTACTCCGAACGAAATATATCTATTTTTGATATCTAGTTTCAATTAAGAACATTCTAAGAAAAAAATAAATTTTAAATGAAATTAGTAAAATTAAATGATATCCACTAATTCTCCCAATCAGTGTAATCCACTTATTTTTCTTCGCTTATAAATCTGTGCGGAAGGAGTACTTTAGTTTGTTTGTCGCTTTGATCACACGGCGTCCATGCCCCAGCATATCTCTATATCAATCCACGTTAGATTTCATTTTTCAACTTATACATATTTTCGTGATGAACTTTGAATAATGGACATTATATTCGTATAGTTTTGCTTATTAATAAATTAATTTCAATTCGGAACAACCAATAGGGTCTGAACCCTCATTAGATCTTATCCTCTAATATTGTTTTATTCACCAATCATTTTTTAAGTCGTAATATGTTTAATTCAACCTTTTTAGAAGAAAAAATCAAAATAACTTGCCATCCAAACATGTGCATACATTTGGTAGTAAATTTATAAATTTTACTTTTTAATCTTTATAGTTAAAAAACATTTTATTTTAATTTTCGTAAACATCATTTTTTTTCTTTTTAGTATATGTTACCAATTTCTATAGAGACTAAATAGTTAATTTATAAAATTATAAAAATTTAAAAATAGTATGAATAATATAAAGACTTAAGAACATAATATTTTATTATACAAACTAAAAATTAAAGTTCACGATACTACATATAATAAAAAAAATAAGTAAACCCTTTTTTTATTCAGCTTTTTTTTTAAATGTCGAGATTGCAGATCTTTTTCCAGAAAGCAACTAATATAGAGCAAGGTGAAACTTTAGACAATAAGACTCTCCTTCCAAATATTAAATACATTCGCATAGCCAAAACTCGAAACCGTTGAGCTAAAACAATCTTACACTAGTTCATTTTCTTTTAAAGTTTTCAAACTCGAATTATTTAAAAATTAACGCGATGCAAAAGCACCTTGTCTAGCATATGGGTGGATCTTGGGTGCCAACCTTTAGCCCTCTACACCAGTTAGCAATACCATCCATATACACATAAAACTAAACCATTAAACACCAAGCTAAGTGAAATCAATGATAAATGAGAATAAAGATTGCACAGAACAACAAAATCATGATGCAATTCTGTGGATACTTGAAAGCAAAAAGCCCTTGGGTAGTTACAAGTACAACATTATTTTCCGCTACATGAATACCACAATAAGGGCAGAAATGATCATCATACATCTAATTCATACTCATCATTCCGACGGTATAGCAAAATTAGACGGTGAATACCCTGTATCAAATTTCTACAAAAAAAAAACCCCCAAAATGCCATTGATAACAACTAACAACATAATACATCATGTTGGTGATCCTCACTAGTCACTACAAATGTGTTTCCATTCCAAAACTCAGAAAGTTGGCGGGAATAGACACCTCTACCGCAAAAGGCCTCAACTTACCAAGAGAGGCATGCAAATCCAACATGAACTCATTTGTATATGAGAGCATCACGTCCAGGGCCAACACCAATGTAGTGGATAGGGACACCCACAAGTTCTTCTATCCTTTCCACGTACTGACGTGCAGCTTTTGGAAGTTCAGAGTAGTTTCTTACAGAAGAAATATCAGATTTCCATCCAGGAAGTACTTCATATTCCACCTAAAACATGAAAATAAATAACCATAAGAAAATGCAATTAAGGACCTTTACCTTCCTTGAAAAACCTGTTACTTCATTTTGGTTTATATAAGTCACATCAAATAAAAGCATTGAGTTATGTGATCTAGAACTAAAGTGAAGGTGGATGTATAATAGCGCAAATTTACCTTCAATTGCTCAAGGAGACGGAGATCTGAAGGAAATGATTTGATTTGGGTGCCATCAACAAGTTTGTAAGCAACACCCAACTGTATTTCATCAAGATCCGATAAAACATCCAGCTTGGTAAGATTCAACGATGAGAAACCGTTGATCTGACATGAGTATTTCAATGCAACTATATCGAGCCAACCACACCGTCGAGGACGGCCAGTAGTTGTGCCAAACTCCTGCCCAGCAAATCTGAGGAGATCACCTCCTGAACCCAAAATTTCAGTTGGAAAAGGACCAGAACCAACTCTTGTAGTGTATGCCTTCACCTGCACAGCCAAAATAAAATTAATAAACCATTCTGCCTGTGTTAATTATGTTTAAGTTGTTTACATTATATTTTTTGAATACATAAAAAAACAGAGAAAGCATGACGTTCCTGAGCTAAAACTACCTTTAGCAGTAAGGAATAAGAAACACAGGCTTCTTTTTGGGTACAAAATAAGAAAAGATTACCAACAACTCCAACAAACAATGAAGAATAGAAAAATATCTACTTACCACTCCTATTAAATCACCAACTACCCTTGGAGCAATACCAAGACCAGTGCATATCCCACCTGCTGATGGGCTAGAAGAAGTAACAAAGGGATAAGTTCCAAAATCAATGTCCAACATGGTTGCTTGTCCTCCTTCAACCAAAATATTTTTCTTTTGTTCTATAGCTTCATTCATGACATGCACAGTATCGGCAATAAATGGCTCCAACCTCTCGGCATATCTCTTGTATTTTTCAACTTCTTCCTTGAGCACGTCTGGACCATAGTTAAAATCTTTGAACCTCAATGCTGCATCTGACAATATAAGATCAAGCTTCTGAGGAAAGGTATCCATGTGCCTCAAATCACCCACTCGAATGCCGTTACGGTTAACCTTGCTGGAGTAGCAAGGTCCAATGCCTCTCTTGGTGGTGCCAATGAAAGATTTAGCAAGCTCAGCTTCTCTTAGCCCATCCACTAATTGGTGGAAATCAAACAACAGGTGTGCACGATCAGATATCAATATCCTTCCGTTGCAAGAGACCCCACTTGACTCAAGACCGTCAATCTCTTTAAACAACCCTGGCAGGTGCACTACAACACCATTCCCAATCACACATAGAGTATCCTCATTGAGAATACCAGAAGGAACAAGATGAAGGGCGAACTTTTTCCCTTCTGCATTATAAATTGTATGCCCAGCATTAGCTCCACCCTGAGAACATACAACAATCACAAATTATCAGTGCAAAACAACAATTAAAAGACCAAAAATCATGCACCAACACCAAGTGAAACAATCAACACACCAAATTAGTCCCTGAGATTAATATCTGAAATTACAAAGAATGTAGTTTTAGTCCCTAAAATTACCAAACGTCAATGACTTACAAAAGGAATGCTATTAACACTCTATAATACACATTCTAACACACTCTCTACTATTGATTAAAATTTATTCAGAACTACAAAATCATGAGTGGTGCTCATTAAATAAAAAGTGAGACCCCCAAATTGCAATTTCCAATAAAATTCAATCAACAATAGAGAGTATGTTATAGAAAGTGTCACTAGCATTTCTCTCATTTTAATCCTTATATTTGTAAATTCAGGGACCCAAACCATTAACCATTGGTAACATGGAAGAACTAAAATAACCATTAATTAATAATTTCAGAGAATAAAAAAAAAAAAGGCATTTCTGCAATTTCAGGCATAAATAATAGTGATTGGCACTATCCTTTGGTAACACGGAAGAACTAAAATAACCATCAATAATAATTTCATAGACAAAAAATACATTTCTGTAATTTCATGGATAAATAAAATTGAGAGGCAGTCGTAATCACAGGATCAATCAAGTGTTCCTCTCATAATAAATCACACGTCCATCTCACACAGTAAGCAAGTCCGTGAATCTAAACATCGAAAACCCCAAACAAAAGGCACTGATTCACGCGCGTGAACAAGCCCATTCAAAACCAATTCGGTTAAACCACAGAGCAACCAACCCTAACACAACAACGCACTAATTCCATCGAGTTCCCGAACCACCCACGATTCGCGGCGAAGGGAAAAACACGCGAAAAGTGAAAAAGATGATAGCTTTAGCAGTACCTGGCAGCGAGCAACGATTTCGAAGTGCTGGGCCAAGATGTCAACGAGCTTCCCCTTGCCCTCGTCGCCCCACTGGCAACCGAGCACGCCGGAGACCTGGCTGAGCGACCCGATGCGGCCGGCGGAGGCGTCGACGGCGGCGAGCTTGGTGGGAGGAGGCGCGACGGGCTTGGCGGAGCAGACGACGACGTTTGGAATGGGGCGAGCGCGGTGGAAGGAGAAGGGGCGCTGAGGGTTGCAAACGGCGTGAGAATCAAGCGCGAGTGACGAGATGCTGTTCATTGTGAACGAATGAATGAAAGAAAGAAAGAAGGAAAAGGGCACAAAGGTTGTTGTTTGTTTTGTGTTGATGTTTTTCTGTGATACTTCTTTCCCTCTTGGACACTACCACCAGAAAGGAGCGATAGTCATATATCTATTTAAGAATTATTTTTATATATATAATATACTCATGTACATGAATTTCATTTTACAATATCCTCATAGTATTAATTATTTCAAAATTATTAAATATTTTTTAATGTACGTACAACGAATATTATATATTTTTGAGTCAACAACAAATATTATGTTTTTATGTTTTAAATGTAATTAATGTTTTCTTCTTATTTAGTATGTGTAATACATCTTCATATATCATTAGGTTAGTTTAATAATTAGAGAGAAAAGGTTAAAGTTGAAGTAAGATTGTAGGTTTATTTCTTCACATGTCTGTATAATATTTCTCATAAATAAAAAATATTTTTATGTAACTCTTGTCAACCTTTAATAAATACTCGAATTTAATTGTTTAAGGATAATATTTTAGATTTATAACAGGTAATTTTTCTTAACGAGTATTTTATTAATATTTGACTTTTTATTATTAATTTATTTAAAAAATAATTAAAATATTTCATGAATATTTATTTTAAAATAAAGTTGGGTTTTTAAAACATAAATTAATGATTAAAAAAAAAAGATATATGTTAAAGAACACAAGACATTTATATAAATGTTTATAAGTTTGTTACTGTATTAAAAAAAGGTTGATTGACTTTTTATTACTAAGTATCTTTTATTTTCTTTCTACAAGGAAAAAAAAGTAGACATTAAATCTGCTCAAACAGCATTAGAAGCAAGAGGAAGAGGAATTAGTGAATTAAAAATATGAATTCTAAAGACCCCTCCAGCAGAAGCCTTCTGCTACACCTACATACCCTGCAATGCCCAACATATTGTTCTAGTTTACTCACGAAATGGTATTACTTATTTTTATAAATTTTATTTATTAAATTAAATACGTAAAGACAAAAAGAGGAAGTAGGAGATAATGACAGTTATTAATAATGTCAATTATCACCCATGCGAGAAATTACGTAAGATTTTAATGGACGTTTTGCACATTATTAAAAAGTCATTATCAATCTAAGCTGGATTTTTTACATGTTACATATTTTGCCATCCTTTCTTTCGCATCAAAAATTAGAATGACTACGTTCACAGATTAAAATATGATTACACCATGTAGTCGCACCAAATCAAATATCCTCAATGTCATTGTATCAAGGGGAACAAAAGATGAACAAGGGAAATAAATTTATGATTCCCTTTGTTAAAAAATAAAATAAAATAAATATTTTCATTCCCATATTATTGAATGATTTAATATGTAACATCTATTGGATACTTGACCAAACCCTAGTTCTTCCAAATAATCTTCGCATTAATCAATTAAGTTCCTCATTTGGATCTTACCAAACAATGATGAGGTAATTCAAACTTCTTGTTAAGACCAACTTGTTGCCTCCTCCAAGGGTCATTATTATCCAACTTGTAATGCAAAACCTTAATTAATGAAAAAAGGGTCAAAAGGAAAAACACAAACTAATATGAGATTAAATTGCACAGAATATATAGTTGTGGCAAAGAAAGATAAGTACTTGTATTATTATTATTTTTTTATTAATTCAGTTCTACTTCAAAATCAGATATACTAATTTTTGGAAGTTGAAATCAAATCTTTTTTGAAGTAACATCAGAACTGGTTGTAGATCTACTTTAAAATCAGCAAAATATTTTGACATTGACTTCCAAAGGACCATCGAATGTAATGTCTTTTATGTTGTCATAATTATTATTTAATTAGATGTTACAACTCCATGTAAATGTGCTGTAAATATATGTAACCGGTATGTGATCTAAGAGAGTGTATTAGATTGTACTTAAAACAAAAGTCTTGTTAATTTTAAAATTTTTTTGTAAGATTTTAATAAGTTTTAAGATTTTTTTAAAAAGAGTTTTAAGAATCTAATAATTTGTTAAGATTTTTTTAAAATACTTTTTAAGCAAGATTTTGTAGTATAAACTTATATCTTAAAAATTTACAATATTTCAAAGGATTTATTAGATTTCAAAAGATAATATAAATTTTTAAAAAATAAAACAATTTTTCTATGTACAGAAATGACAAGGTTTAAATAAAGGAAATAAAATTAATAAATTTTTCAATCTTTTAATAAATAATTAATTTTAGTTTCATGATCTCTTAAGTAATATTTTTTTACATACAATTCTCTTTACATTTTTATATTTTCTCATTCATATTATTGAATTTAAATAATATGTTCAAATTTATGATATTCATTAATCGAAAAAATTGTCAAATATATTTTTAATACTTATTTAAAAATTTGATATTTAATTTTAATAATTTAATTTTTTAAAATATATAAAATTCTAAAATAATTTTAAATATTTAATAATTAGAAAACAAATATTGATAGATAAAAATGTAACAAAAAGTATTGATGGATAAAAAAAAAGACAAGAGAAAAAATAGAGAGAACAATAAATAAAAGAAGAAATAAATGAGAGAGATGAAAAACAAAAATATATGATATAGAGAAGACATGGGAAGAGAGAGAACGGCGGGGGGAGGGCGGGGAAAGAGAATAAAAATAGATGAGGTAGAGATAGAAGAAAAGATGAGAGAGAGAAAGAGCCAGAGAAGAAAAGAGAGAGAAATCAAAAAGGCCATGCAGAAAAAAAATGACAAATAAAAAAAAAGTCATGTAAAATGATTTTGATGAAATTGTTGGATGAATGAACTATATATAAATTCTACTAAAAGTCTCACTAAATTCATCCATGAAAATAATTTAGTAAAACCTTTATGTTTTTAAATACCAACAAACTTTTTTAACTAAAAAAAGGCTTAATTGAAAATGTACTCCTAAAAAAATATGATTAATTAAATAACACTAGATTTTGATATATTCTTAAAAAAAATTCTAATTGTCTTAATATCATATAAATTTTTTATATTAAAAATAAGTTTTAATTGAATATCACATGATTTTTTTATAATAAAAAAGTTTTTTAAAATCTTTTGAAATTTCAATCCAATACACCCTCTAAGTACATGTAATGTTTCTTTGATATAGATATTTGTATGTCTCTTTTGCAATAGTTACAAAAATTTTGTGAACATTCCTTCAATATAGCCAAATCTTTTACTTTTTTTTTAGTAATCATAATATTATAATTGGTATGAAGTATCTATCATCGAAAGCAATGACTAATCTCTATTAAAGATCGTAAGTGCATATTTCCAACATTAACTATTTCATAACCAAAATCAAGATTCAAATCCTAAACATCTTAGTTAAGAGATATAAGTCACTGTCACAGTGTGACTTATGTCAACCAATATTGATATCTTTTGTAACTATAGCATTGACTATTGCACATATCTCTACCATTATATATTCCTCCATTGTGCGACATAGGCCACATTTATTGGATCACTAGCAATAGCTTTGTGTTTCATGGGTGCTTGTGTAATTATACATTCTTCTAGAAGAAGTTCACTTGAGAAAACTTCTAAAGAGGGTACAGGTTCACAATTTATCACATTAAAACGTGTTACTTCAAAATAGAGCACTTGAAATGAACCGGAACTCATGAGTCGACTCAATTTATCATGGGCTTTGGACTGAGTTAGACTAGAAAATTTTGACCTATTTCAATTAAATGAATTATTTTTTTTGGTTCGTCTCTGGAGTATCTACCGCTAATAGCAGTGATTAATCTCCTCACTACGTTAGAGATACCTCAAAAGAGTGGGATAGCTGACCCCAAGATTTAACGTAGTTGCATACACAAGGCAGGATTCGAACTCCTAACATTGCTTAAGCGTGAATCAACCCCTACCGCTGAACTACACGCTTGGGATTTCAATTAAATGAATTAGAACTGCATATTGCATTTATACTGATATTTAAATGGTGATTAGATCCTAATTTATGAATCTGGATTCGGGATAGAATTTAGGAGAAATTTGGATTTTGTTCCCTGAACAGAGTAGAGGCAGCAGTTTGCTGAAACATACGATTAAGTGGAATTGATTATCATGAAAAATTTGTTGGTGCCATTTTTCAGGAATTTGAATAGCACCACAATTATTTTTATGGTGTGTTTGGATGAGGAACTTTACAAATTTAAAGAATTTTCTTGGTATTTGAATTACTTTGATTTCAATTTCTATCATTTTTAAAATATTTTGTTTGGATAAGTCAATTTAAATTTTTAAAATTTTAAATTGTTAGGTTGGATATAATAATTTGATTCCATTGATAAAATTAATTTTAAAAATATATTTATATGTTGAGATTTTTAAATTAAATTTTATAAAAATAAATATTAACTAATTTTTAAATATTTAATAATTTTAAAAATTAATATTATATAATATTTAATAATTTTAAATATATTTTTGAATATTCAATAATTAAAAACATGAAGAGATAAGAGATAAGATAAAATATATAAGTGAAATAAGAAGAAAAAATATGAAGAATTTCAAATTCTTATTCTTTTGGGAAAATTTGAAATTCTACTATTTCAAGAAATTTCACAAATGCTTGAATTTTAAATTCTTTATAAATTCCTTATTCAAACAAGGTATTTCACCTCAAAAAATTTGAAAATTTTCAAATAAATAAATTACTCCATTTAAATTTTTCATCTAAACAAACTATTAGTGATTGCTGACTCAAGTTTATAAAGAAACTGTAAGCTTACTAACCACAAATACCGACTTCTGCATTTTAACTTCTCGATATTCAATGTAAGGTCTAACTAACCACAACGTGTTTGTTTTACCGTTTGAATATCATTCACCAGATTTTTTACACTTTCTAAAGCAGAAACGTAGAAATAAGGGAAGGGATGGACCACTACATCCAACGTGAAAACAAACACACGCTGGGTAGTGTTGAGACGCATGTGCCCACTCATTAAATTTAAGCATCTCCTAAATTATGTATTGTCCACGGCATTCTGGATTTTGACTTCTTGACATTTTCGTCTTTTATATAAGAAAAGTTTTGTTGTCTTGCCAATGAATCTAACTTCATTTGCAACTATTATATGCATGATTTCGTATGTAGCAGTTGGTGTTATATCGTCATAAAGCTGTGATGTGTAGATATACTGAAGATGCAATTTTTTTTTTCTTGATGTTGTTTAACTAAACAATTGGGTTTTGTTTGTCTCAGATAGGGGCTGGAATCCTGCATGTATGCTTATGCAGTGGTTGGGTAATCACGTTTGGTTATGTAGCACTTGATTTGCTTCAAATAGATGCGTGCAGTACAAGTCTGCTTAAACTTGCCTCAAATTTCATTTGTAATTGGGTTGGTCTTAGTACGTTTTCTAATGAATTTTCAGTTGGCTGATAAAAATAAAAATTAAAAAAAAATCTTGACTTACTATATTGTTTTATATCACTTTTGAAGCATTGCTGATAGTAAGAATAAGTAAACCATGTATAATTGTTGGTACTTTTGTTTTCTTCCATCCTTTAAGGTATAAGCTGAAGTTCCTAATAGAGAAAAACAAATATTACATACATGCATTTTCCATTTTAGTATTACTTCTCATGTGCCTCAATTTGAAGCAAATTCATCTACATCTTAATATTGATGTCAGGATAGTGCCTCAAATCATTGTTGCTCTGATTCTGAAAGGTCTAAAAGCACGACTAACATGCAAACTAGCATATGCACGAACACACTGGTAAAGTTTGGCTTATACACACATGGCACATGCAGTAGGATTATGATCCATGGATCCTTTAAAGTTTAGACTGCAAATTTTACAAAGTAGTGAAATTGAAAACCATAAATGAAAAAAAAAAAAAAATCAGTAGTTTCAATTTGTATAAAATTCAAACACCTGTATAACAAATAGTAGATTTGTCATCTAGGATTACCACTATGCACTTTATAACGTACATGATGCAGGATCCAATCCCAAGCAGTAATATACAACCTATAGATATATGCTGATAAACAAAAGTAAATATAACTGCATACTCAAATGAGGAGCCTCATGAGCACATTTTTGAGACATGAATCAAGAACTTGAACCAAAAAAAATCTGCCTCATTGTCACTTATAGTTCGAGGAGGGCTAGATAAGATACTCTCATAAAGTGATAGGATGGGTACTAGGTCCAAAGTAAAATGATCCAAAAATTTTACTAGATGGAGTTAGTTTATTTTAAATATATTACATTTTTTAATTATTTTGTAATTTCTTTAATTTTCTAAGATGATGACACTTGTAGGGTTGTAATCCTATTAGGTTAGTGGTCATTGGTATGATGTAATTGAGGATATAAAGAAAATGAATGAATTTAGCTTTATTACTCTTTTTACTTGTTATTTCCTCTAGAAAATTAGGTCTTCTAGTATGATCTCTCCTTTAGTAGCTTAACATATCTTCAGACACGAAATATGATAGAACCAAAATATTGCTAACTTGTCTAAATTTGACTAACTGAAATATTATGTCTCTATCTCAAATCCACCAAGTAAGTGCCTGAGCACCATAAAGTTCAGTTGTCCATAAGGTTGCATTATCTTGATCATACATCTATTCACTCAGTGTGTCCCTATAACAGCCAAAAAGAAAAAAAAGAAAAGGATAATTAAAGTTTAAAACTGAAAAAATCACAAGATTGCTTTTGGGATATAACCAAGAGTGACATTCATATCATCCTTAACTCATGGAGCAAGCTGTTAAACTCAGGAGGCAAACCATAAACATATATAAGAGGCCTTTTCTTAGCCACCACCACAACATTAATATTGATAACTTTTTCACCAAAATTCTGATTCTCCAGAACATCAACCTGAGCAGGATGAATCCAATTAGGCCACTCCCTATAGAGGATATGATAGAAGGAGTGCTACAATCTACTCCATACCAGCCATTGTCACACTGAAAAAGGCATCAGATTCAATTTATTTATATAAATTTGATGTAAGCAAATATAATGTATATGGCACCAAATGTGAGACAATGAGAGTGAACGCATTTCTCATACTTTCTGTTAGTAGTGAGAAACTCTAACTCTATAGTAATAATATAAAAAAAAACTCTTAAATGTATATGGTATAAATAAATAAATGACAGATTTATAAGGTATTATAAGGGAATATCCTTTTTTTAATGTACACTTTTTTAAAAACAATTATATCATTGTGTTGTATTTTATTTATTTATTTATTTTTTCTAATTTATATTTAAGGATAAAATAGAAAAACTATATATATATATATATATATATATAATAACTGTTCTCTTTAAAAATAAAAACTATCCACTTTTCTTTTATAAAAATATTATTTTATTTTTTCATTGAAGTACGAAGTATTTTTTTTTAACTGGTATAATTTAATGTAATTAAACTATTATTACATTTCTATCATGATTTCTCATTTTTCTTCCCTCCAAAATATACAATATGAAAAATATCATTATAGGGTATGATTTCTCATAGGCCCAATTCCACCACCTTAGCTGATGGTTTTAAAGTGTAAGACAAAATTATTTGGTATTTCTTTTGTCTCTTGCTTTTCTTATTGGCTATCAAAATATTGTTAGCGGATGCCAGCCATGTTTTCAAGTGGAGGAAAAATATTTAATATTTCAATATTATAAATTAATAACACGCTGGTGACATGAGACATTAATTAAGTGATTCTGCACAAAGTTGACTTGGCAACAACTACTGTTTTGCTTTCCGATCTCTGGTGTTTGGGTTTCTGAGATCTATGGCTGAGTCATTCCTCTTCAGCATTGTGGAGTCACTCATAGCAAAGCTCGCTTCTCGGGCTTTTGAAGAAGCTTCTCAAGTGCTGGGTGTATACGATCATCTCAAAGAGTTTAAAGAAACTCTCTCATTAGTGAAGGCTGTGCTGTTAGATGCTGACCAAAAGCAGGAGCACAACCATGAGCTGCAGGAATGGCTGAGGCAGATCAAACGTGTCTTCTATGATGCTGAAGACTTGCTGGACGAGTTTGAGTGTGAAACACTTCGAAAGCAAGTGGTCAAAGCTCATGGTACCACCAAAGACAAGGTAGCTCACTTCTTCTCAAACTCTAATCCACTTGTTATTCGTTATAGGATGGCTCAACAAATTAAAGATGTCAGCAAGAGGCTTGACAAGGTTGCAGCTGACAGGCATAAGTTTGATCTTCAAATAATTCATGTTGATAGGCGTGTTGTGCATAGGAGAGAGATGACACACTCCCATGTGACTGATTCAGATGTCATTGGAAGGGAACATGAAAAAGGAGAGATCATACAGCTTTTGATGGAGCAGAATCCCAACGATGATCATAAAAGTCTTTCTGTTATCCCCATAGTGGGGATGGGAGGTTTGGGAAAGACCACACTTGCAAAGTTTGTGTTCAATGATAAGAGGATAGATGAGTGTTTCCCATTGAAGATGTGGGTGTGTGTTTCTGATGACTTTGATATTAAGCAACTGATTATCAAAATCATTAATTCTTCCAATGATTTAGCTCCTGCTAATGCTCCTCCTCTCCAACAAAATTTAAACACGTTGGATCTGGAGCAATTGCAAAATCAGTTGAGAAACAAACTTGCCGGTCAAAGATTCCTTCTCGTCTTAGATGATGTGTGGAATGAAGACCGTGTTAAATGGGTTGAGTTGAGGAATTTAATACAAGTCGGTGCTGCAGGAAGTAAAATTCTAGTGACTACACGTAGTCAGATAATTGCTTCCATGATGGGTACCGTTCCTTCTCACATTTTAGAAGGTCTTTCTCCAGAAGACTCATTGTCTCTATTTGTCAAATGGGCGTTTAAGGAAGAAGAAGAGAAAAAATATCCTCATTTGGTAAATATTGGGAGAGAAATTGTGAAAAGATGTGGAGGAGTTCCATTAGCTGTGAGAACATTAGGGAGTTTACTATTCTTGAAATTTGAGGTAGAAGAGTGGGAATATGTGAGAGAAAATGAAATTTGGAATTTGCCACAAAATAGAGGTGACATTTTACCTGCACTTAAATTGAGTTATGATCTCATGCCTTCGTATTTGAGGCAATGTTTTGCACTGTTTTCCCTTTATCCAAAGGATTATGATTTCACTAATTTTGAGGTAACTTCACTTTGGGGGGCACTTGGACTCCTAATATCACCGAAAAAAAATAGGACACTAGAAGATGTTGGCAATCAGTATATATATGAACTACTATCAAGATCTTTTCTTCAAGACTTTGCAGATGGTGGCAATGTATATGCATTTAAAATACATGATTTGGTGCATGATCTTGCTTTGTTAGTTGCAAAAGATGAGTGTCTACATATAAATTCCCACTTTCAAAATATTCCTGAGAATGTTCGACATTTATCTTTTGCTAAAAACGATTTACTTGACAATTTATTCAAAACAAAGTCAGTAGCTATGAGAACCATACTAATTCCAGATGGAACAACAGGAGTCTACAGTGAAACTTTAGTAAATACTTGTGTCTCAAAGTTCAAATACTTGCGATTTTTGGATTTAAGTGATTCAACATGTGAGACTTTGCCTTATAGCATTGCTAAGTTGAAACACTTGCGATATTTCAACATTAGTTATAATCAAAATATTAAGAGACTCCCTAATTCTATTTGCAAGCTCCAACATTTGCAAGTGTTGAAATTTGATGGATGCACAAAGCTAGAAGCATTGCCCATAGGACTAAAAAAAATGATCAGTCTTCGGCACTTGGCGATAACCACAAGGCAATTTGTTTTGCCCGATAATGAGATTGCCAACTTGAGCTCACTTGCTATTCTGTCTATTCATTCAAGCCCAAATCTAGAGTTTATCTTTGGAGGGGTGAAATTCCCTGCTCTTAAATCATTGAATGTTTCTGAATGTCAGGGTCTGAAGTCTTTGCCACTGGATGTTGAAAATTTTCCTGAATTAGAAACTTTGCTTGTCGAAAAGTGTGGTAATTTGGACTTGGAACTGTGGAAGAACCACCATGAAGAACAAAGCCCAAAGTTGAAGTTAATATATGTTATATTATCTGGTTTACCACAGTTGACGGCCTTGCCTCAATGGCTTCAAAAAACTGCCAACTCTTTACAGACCTTGTCAATTGAAGATTGCAGAAATCTTGAGATGCTTCCAGAGTGGCTGACAAGCCTGACTAATCTGAAAATATTTGGTATATCATACTGTCTAGAGTTGTCATCTCTTCCGGATAACTTCCATCACCTCACCGCACTTGAAATTTTAGAGATTGAAGGTTGTCCTGCATTATGTAGAAAATGTCAGCCCCGTGTTGGAGAGTATTGGCCCAAAATATCACATATCAAACGCCTTGAAATTGAAGAACTAGAGGAAGAGTAAGACGTAGAAGAATGCTTTAAATGAAACAGATAAGCGATGAAGCCCTTCTTCTATTTATTGTGTAGATTGTTGCTCTTGATCGTTCTCTCAATATGTTTTGAACTCTTCGTGTATACTCTTAATATGGTTCGCGTCAAATTGCACTTGGATCATTTGTTTGGTTTAGGCTCTTTCCTTATTATCTTTTATCTTCAACTTTTTCTTTTGTGAAAGTAAATTTGAGTTTCTAGGAAAGGCATTTTAATTTACAACCTCCATGATTGTGCATGCAACACTACAATATTTGCTTATTTTTTTGTAATTTTAATTGTGATTTTTTCTTTCATTTATATTGATAGGCAAGCACATCTTCACATATTCCATTTATACTCATATTCAGGTGATAATTAGATCGAACTTTCTCATGTCTTTATTATAAGACATTTATAAAAGAATTACACAAACTAATATAAGGAGTTCTTTTAGTTAATTCTATAAAAAAAGTATCACGATGCAATTTTAACTTTTTTACTTATAACTGTCATAGGAGAAGTGAAGACATTATTTGATATCAAAATTTATATGCTAATACTAATAAAATTTGTAAAACAACGGGAGAGTTCAATAAGTGAGTGAAATAACATTTATTTCTCTATTTTTTTCTTATTATTCAACAACAAGAAATATACATATTTACAATGTTTAATGATGGTAAAAAAAAAAAAAAAAAAAGTAAGATTAATATTTTATAAAAGTTATAAAATATCTTATAAGAAGGACCTCAAATTTTTTTAAAATTATATCTTATAATAATAATGACAGGAAAGAATAATTTAATAATCTGGACTCCGGATAGCATTGGGTAGAAATTTGGATTTGTCCCCTGAAGAGAGTAGAGGCAGCAATTTGTCCCATTATGACCCTGAATGCTAATACAAGAAACATAGAAAAAAGAGAGAAGTAAAAATGGAAATTATAAGCATAATAAATATATCAACCCAAAAGTACATAACAAAGTAAAAGCATTGCTGGTAGTAAGAATTAGTAAACCATAACTTCATGTACTTTTATTTTTCTTCCATCCTTCAAGGTTTGCTGAAGCTCCTAATAGAGGAAAACGAAGAATATATATATGCATATTCCATTTTAGTATTACTACTCTTGTAAATCAATTTGAAGCAAATTCATCTTAACATTGGTGTTAGGATAGTGACTATGATCCAAATAATCACAGTTGCTCTGGTTGTGGAAGCTCTACAAGCACGACTAATATGCAAACTTTAAAGTGTAGTATTGAAGTCTCTTAAAACACTGATGAAGTTTGGCTTACACACACATGCCACATGCATTAGGATTATGGTCCATTGATCCTTTAAAGTGAAGACTGCAAATATTACAAAGTAAATTGTGAAATTGAAAACCATAAATGAAAAAACCAGTAGTTTCAATTTGTATAAAATTCAAGCACCAGCATAACATAGTAGATTTCTCATCTAGGATTACCACTGTGCACTTATAACCTATATGATGCAGGATCCAAAGCCCATGCAGTAATATACAGCCTATAGATATATTCTGAAAAACAGAAGTAAATATACCTGCATTCTCAAATGATATGAGGAGCATCATGGGCACATTTTATGAGACATGAATCAAGAACTGGAACAAAGAAAAATCTGCCTCATTTAAGATATTTATTCATTTACATTGGAAGTAAGCAAATATAATGTATATGGCACGAAATGAGAGACAATGAGACTGATCTCATTACTCATACTTTCTGTTACTGATTAGAAACTTCATGAATATAATATACGAAAATAATAGGTGGCTGACAAAGTGAAAATAGTGTTGATTAATGGAAGATGATTGCACAGACACTTGACAAAATCGACTCATGCCAGCATATGCTTCATCAGGGTCCACATTATACCAACCTGATTTGCTACCATTCGTTGTCAACACTACAGTGTACATTCAGTATACAAGTAAAATCAACTTTTTTTTTTTATTATTATAATTTTGTGAAGGTTATCCACACCTTGTTGGTAATTTCTCAACTTAAACAACAATAAAAACCATATCACATTCTTTTTATAGCAGTATCTAAAAATAACTAGTTGTATATTAAATAAGTAAAACACAATAAGAATAAAGTAAAAGCACGCATTATTTTAACTAAAGAAAAAGTGTGCCACAAAGTTACTTTTTTAAACTATACTTATATATTTATAATATTTATATTATATTAACTAGAGGAAAAATGAGACATTTGTACCTCTCTGTTTAAAAATAAAAAAATTAAAGTGAAAAGATTATGAATGATTACTTAAATGATAATAGATTTGAAAATTGAATATGTTGAAATAGGAAAAAAGAAAGAATAAAAAATAATAATGAAAAAGAAAGCAGTTAGCGGTACTTCTAGATAAAAATTAGCCTAAAATTTGTTTTACACCGAAAAAGAATATCATTTTTAATTAATAGTATAGATATTAGTGTATATGTGCATTTTCTATTTTAAAATATAACTTATATAGATTATTTCTTTTAAAATAATAAAAATGTAATTTTAATATATTAATATACATTAAATTTTGTAATATTTATCATATAAAAAAGTCATAGGTTCAAACGACATATATTACATTTAATAAATTAAATGAATATATTACATTTAATAAGTATCTCAATTATTAATATATTATAATTAAAATTGATTGTACAACAACATTAAATACCATATTTATTAAATATAATATGTAATCAAATTATAAATAAAAATTAAGAAATAAATAATTACGTATTTATCAATTTCTTACAACTATAATAATATATATTTCAATTTCAAGTGGTATTATATTTTTATTTTTTTGTGAATAAGTGGCATTAGATTAATGTGTATATATATATATATAGAAACTTAAGTTCAAATCTTAACATAGTCGCTGTAATTTTGATGAATAATAAAATTGTATATGTGCCGACGTGTGATTTCCAAAGTGAGAAAACATGAAAAATCAAAGAACCATCCATTCAAATAGTTGACAACGAGAGTATGAGCATCAAACACAATCCTTAGAATAAATCCCTCTCGAAACAGAAGCATAAGTTAGAAGATATAAATGATCAAATTAATATTTTCTTGTCATAAATCATGTACTTTCCCTCGGCTCCAACAAAAAGAAAGACTAGGCCAAACTCTTCTTGGTCCGGGCACGAACTTTTTTTATTAAACCAACTCTGAAAATCCAATTGAAATGCATGATTATAGCACCATTTCACTGTCAAAATCCTGTATATGGGGATCAAAATTCAGATACAATCAACTTGGTTACTTGATCATGTTTCATGTTCCATCATCAAGAGTGTCCTTCCCTTGATTTCTTGACCACAAGCAGAGGTACCCTTTCCTTGTGCACCATACTTTCCTTCACTTCTTCTGACACCCAACCACTTGAACTTGCAACTTTCTCACTTGTCCCTTTCTTCCCTCTTGCTAGCCTCTTCAATTCAGAGCATAACCCGCTGATCTGACTCAGAATCTCTCTGCCACCCAACAAATTTTGTGCGGAGAAAGTACTCTTCAGCTGAGATTTTCGGTTACTTTTCGCACCACACTCCACTGGACCATCCAACTGTTTTGGATTGGGCCCGTTTGTCTTCATCAACGGCTTCTTCAACTTGTTGGTCCTACCACTGGGAAGTGGACCTGAAAAGTTCGGATTTCTATTCTCACTGTCTTCATAAAAGTTTCCTGAACAACTAGGCCTCTCCCTAGACTTGGCTTTAGAACTTTCCACAGTTGAAGAATTTTCCCTGACACACAAAGTCACAAACATTAAAAAATATAAGTAACCATTCGCATTTTTTTTTAGCTACAATACAATCTGTCTTAAGGCCTTCAAGTTTCTCTAGTCTGTACTTCATCTAAGAACGATGATTTTAGATTTTGTATAGGTTCTTGACCTATACTTCATTTCAAGCACCAAATCAGTGACATTTTAGAAAAATTCACTGCTTTTAAATAGCAAGGATTTAAACTAGAAAGTAGAAACTCATTGTGCCAACGACAATCATAGCATTCCAATAAACTAGCATACCTTCTGTGTCTGTCCCTAAAGGGGAGAATTTCAGAAATGGATGGAAATCTTAATAGCTTCGCCTGCTCGATAAAACAAAGAAAAAGAAAATAAATTCATCGCCTTAAAATAATAATCTACAAATTAAGAAATTCAATTATTAATTTAAATACAAGAAACAAAAATTAAGATTGCAACCTTGGAATTGCGTGTGGCGGTAGGTTTAAGAAAATCCTCAGCAGTTTTGGGATGCTTACAACCTGCGAGAGGAAGAGAAACTCAAAAACACAGAAATTAAAAAAAGCAATAAATCAAATTCCATCTAAACCCTTGAAGAGAGGCTCACCGTGAGTGCAAAACCAGGCTTCATCATCAACAAGAGACTCGTCAAAAGCAGAGAGATCAACCCACATAGGCGCGTCGAAGTTCTCGTAGGTGTCATCTTGCACGAACGTAGAATCGATGTTGTCCCAGTCAATGTTGTCCGGTTCCATCTTCGCCAACAATCTGACAAGTTAAAACCAAAAAATAGGGTCAGAGATGAATCGGAAATGCAAAATAAAACGGAAAAGAGACGGTGGAAATTTCAAATTTGTTGCAATTGTGAAGCTTTCAATCCCAAAATGTGTTCTTGTTCGTAGTCAAGAATTTGATGCAAAAGAAAACTTAGAAAACACAAGAAAGTGTGGGTTTGTATAGTGTAGTTAACTAGGACTAATTATGTAACGTATGAAGCATCACATTCACGTTCGTGTTGTTTGAAACAAATTCGACCGTTGGGGACTTTGAACGATTCCTTATTTTTCACTATCTTTCATTTCTTGTCTTTTTAACCGATGTATTAAAAACTCAACCGGTCGTTTTTATTTTTCTTATTGTAATATTTTCTTTTCAGTTTTTTTTTAATATTTAGCATTTTAAATTTACTTATTGACATTATTACTTAAGTTTCACATTAAGTAAAGCAAGCTGTTTTAAGTGTGTTTGCTGTAAAGATATGTATTGATAAATATATAATTATTTCCAATTTTTAATCTCTTATTTCTTATATGTTCAAAAACAAATGTTTTGGTAGATGTGGTAATGATTTTTATATAATAGTATTATTTCAAAATTATTTATTTGAATTCTAAAATATATAAAGACTTTTCTTTTGAATCTTACGTGACTTGTATATTATCAACACAATAACTTTTTTACCCGAAAATTGTCTTTTTTTGTTTTATTTTAATTCATGAAAATAAACAATAAATAATATTTTGATTAAAATCAAATTAAATCTAATAATATTAGTCAAAACATCACACTCAAGTAATAAATTTCATATAAAAATGATAAATAAATGAAAACAACAATAAATTGTACAAACTAACATAAAAATGTTATTTACTAGTTTTAGACAAATTTAATTTTTAATTAACTTTAACGATACAAAATGAATAATTAAAATTATAAGTAATTCATTCAAATGTTTAATTTAAGGTATATTTCATTATATAAATAACCATAATTTTACTTTTTTAAGAATTAAAGAAATAATTACTTTAAAACTTTTATAAAACTCATTAATTTGATTTACATGAGTTTGAATTGTATAGACAAATAAAATTTTTAAAGAAATATTTTAAGCTTATTGAATGATGAGAATGCTCTTTAAACTTATTTAATAATAATAAATATTGAATGTTTCTAAGAAAATATACATTTTAATTAGTTATATCAAGTTTACATATAGATTCAACCAATTTAGAAAGTTAGATAATTCTATATTGATTGTTAAATAATTAATAAGTACAATATGATTATGCCAAAACACAACTGCACCATCGTCAACAACAACTGTCCTATAGATTCGTCAATGTAAATATTAGATCCTCCACTGTAATTATCAAACCTGCCACTGACCTTTCATGCAGCTTTCCAATGGCGACCACCACTATACCAAATCATTCGATATGTAACAATATTTTCTTAAATTACAAAAATGTCGCTGCATGACATTTTACCTCAATTATTTAACAAAAAAATGTAAAAACATTAACGTGATATGACATTTTTTCACTAGTAAGTACTCTTAAAAAAATTATTAACTTCTTTATTTTCATTTATGGACTAGGATTGCCATGAGTTAAAAAGTTTGGTCTTGCAAATAGCATCATTATTGTTTGTGGTGCTAACTTCCATGGAGGTTCCATCCATGAATGCATAAATGAAAGGGTTGGTGGATGTTGGAATTTACTTCCCATGTCTGTTTGCCTCAGACTTTCCAAACGCCCACTTGCAACTAAATTTTTAAAGCAATTAGTTGGCCAACCAAATTAAATAGTTTGAATTCATTTATGCGAGGGCTTTTAAAGTGACCGGAAACAACTCACTCCTCCCATTAAATAAAAAATATACTATATATTTCACATATATAAAAGAAATTAATTGTTTGTATTAAAATTAATTAGTTTTATAATATTTTTTAAAATTATTTTTGTTATAAATGTTAAAATAAGTAATATAATTAAAAAGTCATACATTAAATAGATATATTTTAGAAAATATTATTATAAATGATATAAAAAATAGTTAAAATTCTCTTATATTAAAAAATATATTTATTGCTTATAATAATTAATAATAAAAAAACAGAGGAAGTATTTAATATTGGTTAGCTACTTATAATTACCTAATGTAATGTGCTTGGTTTAGTTTGGAAATTGATGAAATTAAAAAATAATTAATTGTGTATATTGTACTTTGTAAACAAGTTTCATTGTACCAATAAGATATAATATTATTAGTAGATAATTTTATTTTTAGCATGTGGTTTAAAGAAGAAAAACTTTCATTGCTTGAATACAAAAAAAAAAAAGTTAATTTTTTTTATGAATTTTAAAAAAATTATTGTATCGTTGTGACACCCCTTATCCCACATATCATAACATATAAATAATATAAAATTAAACTACTATAAAATAAATGAACTTAATCCATACAAGTAGAGATAATAAAATTGTTAATATAAAATCAAACTTAATGAAAATAATGAAATTATAAAGGAATTAAAACCAAAATTCTCAAATTTAATAACATGAAGCAAACTCCTAAATTAGTGTTAATAAAATTGTCAATTCACATTCACATCAAATCGTAATATAGGAGTTACAACACGGAAATCAATAGAAGAACAACAAAAGATTTGCAAGTAGGATGATGCCCAGCAGCACATACCCCATGCCTAGCACGAGTCATCTAGAGACTCATTTTGGTCTTTGTCTAGATCATGCCCGACGTTAGTCATCTCACACTCAGTGGAAGCATCATAGGAAGCTTTTGGAGCTTTCACGCCTGATGAGGGTCATTCCATGCCCAACGTGAGAGACCTTGAGAACAATCTTTGCTCTCGACCTTGACGATGCCTAACATGTCTCAAGTGGTGTCCATGCCATATCAAAAATATTAGAAACCTAAGTTACGAGACATACACCAATTCATCAAAACTCACAATTCAATCGGTTAAAATATTCTAAAACACATAATTAACATTCCAAAAAATGCAATTTACATATATTAATAAGTATCTTCATACAACTATCATAATATGCTCCCTTAGGATTTCCCTAAACCATAAACCTTAAGCCCACAGGGACCTTAAATCATGCAATTACAAACCAAAACATGCAATTAATCATATATTAAAATAGTTTGTGTCATTAGGAACGCGTAAGAAGAATATGAGACAAAATAGACGTATTTGAAAAAATCTGAGAGTAAACTTTATTCTCAGCCTCAACAACGCCTAATGTGTCTCATGTGACTTACAGAGTTACAAAGTCATACCCTCAACAATTAATTATACATTTCAATCAATAAAAACATTCTATTTTACATGTTAAACATCAATAAAGACATCGATTGCACATTCTAAACACATACCTCCACTAACTACTCACACAATCATCATTTAGGATTCCCATGAGAACTCATAGACAAACCAAAACATACAATTGCAAGTCAAACTACAAAATTACTAACACATAAATATAATTTTTTATCAATTAGAGGATACAAGAAGAAACAAAAAAGATAAAGACACATTTAGAGAAAACCTTTCATATATAGGCACGATATCGAGATATCTTCTTTCTTGTCTGTTTTTCCAACTCTAAGTACAAAATGAAGTGTATATGTAAAAAACAAAAAATGAAGCAGCATTATTTTTTTTTAAAATTGCTCCTTGTTAAATATTAAGTCCTCTATAACCCTATAATTTAAATATATTAACTATAATTATAAAGTGCTTCCCTCTTATTTAATTAAAATCTTTAATTAAAACATCTTATATAACATTCCAAATGTCAAATAATTAAAATAAATATCAATACAACTCAATTAATTAAAATAAAAAATATTAAAAATATTAATTAATTAATTATATTATATTTTATAAAAAAAATGGGATATGTGATGTTTTATATTATTATTTATACCTTTTGCTTATCTTTTTAAGAAAAAGGTATATATACTAGTAATGTATAACCTTTTATACAGTGACATTATTATATACCATTATATATATATATTTGGTTTATTTTTCTTAAATATTTAAATATTAAAAATCAAATCAATAATTTATAATATATGCATAAGATTTATTTAGTTTAATTCGGATTTCATAATAAATTTAAAATAAATTAAATCAAAATCTTACTTAACTTTTTTATTTAGTTCAAGTGATTTTTAAATAAAAATCAAATAAAATACTCCTAAATAAAACAGAGTAAAAAAATTTATTTATATTAAATTTATTTAAAATTTTAATACATCTATTATATTTTATATTTTTATTTTATTATTTCATACAATATTATTTTTTTCACATATACAATTTTTATATTATCAGTCAATTAAAAATATTATTAATATAATTTTTAAGATAATTATCATATAGCGTTTAATGATTATACATACAATATAAATTGTCAAGACCAATTAATTTAAAATTATTTTGGTATGAGATTTTTAATTGTTTGTCATAAAAGTCGATAAATTTGATTTCTGTTATTAAATGACAACTTAAAACTACTTTGCACTATTAATATATAACAACTTTTTTTATAGTAAAATTCAACAAATGTATTTTACATGTTTTTATACTTCCATGTATAATTTATTTTCTCTTATGTTAATTACTTTTAGTCAGGAACTTATGTAGCTTATTATTTTATGATTAATTATTTTACGTAATTAAAAATTAACTTTATAGTAGTAAAATTATCGATATTAATTTTAAAACATTGAACATTTTCAAATATCGATTATTTTTTTAATAGCTCATACTAATTCAAATTGAATGAAATATTTCAAAAATTAAAATAAAATCAAAATAACTATTAATCATCGCCAAAATGTTGAGAAAAATAAAAAAAAATCATCACCAAAATTATGATTTGTATTTAAATTTATTAAACTTAGTCAAAATGGGTACAACGGTTAGTTGACAATCTACTCGTTGCCGTTAAGTTTACGAAATGCTATTGAACAATGGATTGGACGGACCTAACACCCAAAATTTATCCGTTAGATGACCAAACATTTTTCAGATTTATTTTGTATAAATGATATTTTTAATTTAAATGAATTTTAAAAATATAAGTAGAAGCACTTAAAATTATAGTGAAAATATGTATAATAACTTTAAATAAATAAATAATAAAAATTGCCTTGATTTTTGGTGAAAAGTGAAAGTTAAAAAATTTAAATAATGAAATTATGAATATAAATAACTATCAAAAAAATTAAAACTGTACAACATGTTTAAAAAACAAACAAACTATGCACTATATAATATTCTCAACCAATCATCATCATGATAAATATTCATTTATCAAAAAATAATAATAATCAAGATATATATGATTTTTAAGTAATTTTTTTAAAAGTCAATATAATAATTATAGATAGTAAAATTTGATTGGATGATAATATAAATATATTTTTTTATTAATGTATAGACTGTTTTATCTTTTAAAATGAAATACTAACATAACAATTAAAATAATAAAAAAATGTTGTAAAATATAAGTACTAAATAATAAAAATTCACGTGCTATTGAATATATAAACATAATACCATTATGTATATAAAATTATATAAGGATATATCTATTTAGCTTCTACTTTTTTTAAAGATATTTATACATCTATTTTATTTAAAAAAAAAAAAAAACTTTCTCTTTAAAAAAAGTGTTTATTCTATTAAAAATAATTATCTATTTCTTTTTCATGATGGCAAGTGGTGTCTTTTCCCCTGTTAGTATATATAAAGTCAATCTTAATAAAAATATCTTAATTTATAAAAAAGAATGTAAATGAGATCACTTAAAAGAATATATTTAATTGTACATTTGATTTAGCTTATATATTTTTTTTAATAAAATTTTATCATTCATTTGTTTTTTATACATTTTCCCCTATATTTATCTAATTTTCCACGTTTTACCTGGAAGTTAATTTACCTTTAATTGCCATTAATTGATGGAATTGTTGATGTGGGAGTTTGATGTTGACAAGAAAGTGCACAAAACATTGACATGAATTTTGGCAGCTAATGTATAAAGAAAATTAAATTAATTTTTTAAGTCCCCTATATTTAAATTTTCATAAATTGTTACCTAATTTTTTATGTGTACTTTGTCACCTACAAAATTTATATATTAAATATTTTTAATTATAAAAAATTATAAATTATATTAACACATTTGAAAAGATAAATAATAATAAATTTAGAAGAAAAGAAAAATGACAATATAACTTGTTGTTCTACAAAAAATAATTAAAAAAATTAATAATAAAATCAAAAGAAAATATGTTAAGAAAATATTTTTTTTGTGTTTACTTTTATTATAATCTTTATATCTCTCTATTATATTTAAACATTTTTTCATCGATATATATCTCTTAAAAAATAAAATGTGAAAAAAAAGGTGCATAAAAAAGGTAATTACTCACTCAATAAATGACTAACCTGTCCACAAACCAGATCAACAATTGCTGCTAGAAAGAATCCCTTATTAATAATGTTTAAACTAGAAAAGCCGAAATATTAGTTTATGGCTTATTCTATATTTTACTCAAAATCTAACAAAAAAAAAAAGTGCATAAACAAACTAAAAAAAAAGCCTATCCATTTAATTATTTTTCTTTGAGGGAGATACAAAAGTGTACTTTTTTTTTCTTACAATTAGAAATAAAAAGGAAATGAAAAACTGAACCTAATATAGATTTATAGTATAGAAAAAAAATGACATTTACATATTACAACTACAGTTGTAATATGTAAATTTACTTATAAATCTTAGCTGACTTAGTATTTTTCCTTAATATTATAAAGAGACGTGCATTTCCCTAATTTAAACATCTTATTAATTAAAAATAAAGTTAGAAAGCGAATAAAAAATTCTTGATTAAATATGATTGGACCAGTGGACTAATCAATAATATTCAGCCAAAAATTTAAACCTAAGATTTAACGTCGTACAAACATTGCAAGCAACGATGTTGCTTGCTACTGCACGGAATGGCAGTGCATAATAACAAGTGTCAGTAAATATAAATTAAGATATATAAAATAAATATTTATTTTATGAAAAAATTAACTTTATTATATTTTTCAACATATCTTTAGCACAATCAACAAGAAAAAAAGAAAAAAGAAAAAAAAGAAAAGAAAAGCAATCGAGTGCAGAGGTGCAGCAGCAGTTAGTAATAAATTGGTGGCAAGTGGCAACCGGAAACTCCCTTGTGTGGTTCCGTTTGGGTTTCTCCTCGTCCTCACCTCGCAAGCCCAAACCACGTTCCACCCTCTGTTAACCATTCAAATCTGAATCCTCCGCCACATTCACAATTCATTTTCATCTCTTATCTGGGCTGGGCTGGGCTGGGCTGGGCTTGACATGGCTATTCTCGCAGCGGCTGTCGTGGTGCCACTGGGCCTGCTCTTCTTCGCCTCCGGCCTCCTGGTTAATCTCATTCAGGTTTCTCTCTTCCTCTTTCGCTTTCTTTCCGAGATGCATGGACACTAATTCATAACTGCACATCAACATGCAAATGGGAGGTTCCACTACTATCTCCCAACTCTTCATTTATTCATAGTATTTACTATTTACTCGTAGAGTGGAAGAAGCATTTCCAACGCTTGTTTGGTTTCATCACATTAGGCTCAAATGAAATGTGATCTTCAGTTGCTTCAATTAATTTGCTTGACCTCTTGGTTTATTGTGTTGTCTCAGGCGGTGTGCTATGTCCTTGTGAGACCGGTGTCCAAGAATTTGTACAGACGGATCAACCGGGTAGTAGCAGAGCTGTTGTGGCTTGAACTTGTGTGGCTTATCGATTGGTGGGCAGGAGTTAAGGTGTGTCACCGGATCCAAGTTTTTTTTTTTTTTTTTGGTAATTTTCTTTGGTTTTGTTTGGATAAACTTTTGGATGAGCACTTGCAGAAAAAGAAAAATAACAATTAAACTTTTTCTGATAAGTTAAAATTACTTTATACATAATGATTTATTTGGAAACATTTTTTCATAAACACTTTTAGGACAAAAAAAATAGAAAATAAGATCAAAATAAATTTTTTCATAATCTAGTTTAGCTTATACATAAGTTAAAAATAAGATTTTAGAGAAACTAAAAGGATAGAGCATCCATAAGTATATATATAAGTTAATTTTATCTTATAAAGAAATTTATTTGGTTTTTTTCTTCGTCTCATATTTCTTTTCTTAAAGTGATTTCAGAGAAGTTTATCCAAATAGATTTTAGGTCAATCTATAGAAATTCTTATTTAGTTACTCCAAAAGTGGGTTTTAAATTATCCATAAACTAAATTTAACTTACAGTAAGTTTAATTCATTTTTCCCTATTATTTATTGTAAGTGTTCGTTGATAAGTTTTATTCAAACTGGTGTTTTGTTGCCTTCAAATTTAATTAGCTATCCACCGGTGCCTAGTATGTTTTGCAATTTGCTTGCTCTATGTGGTATTCTAGATGATATGGATTTGGGTCTTTACATTACTCATAGTGCATTTCTTCCCTACAAATCTCTATGGATTAAATAGCTGTTGAGCGTAATCGTCTCTTTCAGTCTTTCTCTTCCCTCATTTTGGATGGGCGGTGTTGTAAAATCAAACGTGTGTGGGCAATCTGTCTATCTGTGACTTACGAGGAACAATATGTTATGGGCTTTATAATGTTGCGTGATTTGTCCCAAATATTTCAGTGAAGGTTGTTTCAGTGGGAAATTAAAAGCGTTCATTAATTTCAAAATTAGGGCCATTTTGTTTGAGCTTTTTCTACCTTCAATTAAAATGTTTTATGTTTAATAAAAAAATAATGAAGTCCTCAGAAATAGCTGTTTCCCCGAAGTTAAAACTAGTAGCTTCCGAATAAGGCTCTAAAAATGTGTATCTTAGAGTCACTTGTTTTAGGCATGAACAAAAAATGTTTGACTTGAATTGACTTCCAACTCAATTGAGCTACTCTGGCAGGTATTTATTTTATACTAGGAATCTAATTGAGCAAAGGGAATTGCCACCTTCCATTGATTCTTTCAGCAGCAATAGACACAGCTATAAATTTTGGAGTTTTTGGGTTCTGTGCACTAAAACTATGGGATCTATAGGATTTTGGCTGTAAAAGTAGGAAAGATTCTACAGAGACATGATTCTTTATAGCACTATAATCCATATGCTTGGTTATTTGAAAATCGTGCTTTATGAGCTTTAATTTAATAGTTTTTTTTCTGTTGCATTTTGTATAATTTATTCTTACATTTGGAACTTTCTGGCTCTAGGTCCAAATATTCACAGATCATGAAACCTTTCGTTTAATGGGTAAGTCTTTTGTTAGCCTATGCATTTAGTCTGGAAGGGAAAAGGGGGATCTTCTCGGGATAATATTTGCTTACATATAATAATTTGATTCTGTTTTGTATTATCAGGTAAAGAACATGCTCTAGTGATAAGCAATCACAGAAGTGATATTGATTGGCTTGTTGGATGGGTTTCAGCTCAGGTGATTGTCTTATTTAGTCTGATCTTTTCCACATTTTCAATGAAAGCAAATTTACATTATGTAATACCAGGACAAAAGGACACATATTTAAGGGTTACTTTTGCATGTGTTATTTTATAATAAAATATGCTACTCTTTGATTTGCTATCTTCTACTTTTGTGACATATTTATTTGTTTTTAGCTTCAACTGCTGATTGGTTATTCAATATCGTTCAACAGCGTTCAGGTTGCCTTGGCAGCGCTCTAGCTGTGATGAAGAAATCTTCAAAGTTTCTGCCGGTATATGCTTAATTGTGACTTTTGCTTTCAAAAGGAAATTATTCAGTCATTGTAACTTTAAGGACCTTAATTTGTCGAAACAGTAACACCTAAATCTCTTTCATATGTTCCACTTTCTCTCATATTTCAGAACACCAATTGTAAGCTTTCTAGTATACTCGTGCTGGGATTTTCCAATTAGACTATTTTGAATCTAGTGAAATATTGGGTACAATTTACCTTCTTGGAAGTTATAAATACTTGGTTGTTTCTTTTTAATCTCCTAAGAATAGTTTTGCCTTATACTTATCATGAGTTGAACCATACATGTATAATTTTCTACTTATAATATGTCAATTATTTACAGTCAAATTGAGATAAATGTTAAGTTCTACACATGCAGGTCATTGGCTGGTCAATGTGGTTTTCTGAGTATCTTTTTCTGGAGAGAAGTTGGGCCAAGGATGAAAGCACATTAAAGGTATGACAGGCTAAAATAAAATTAATTTATATGTTTTATGCTCATAAGAGATACATGCTTGTGTTTTTCAAATTGATGTATGTGGCAATACATACAATGGCTATAAATTTTTTCTCTCTGGGTGCATTAGCTGTTTGATTTCATTTGGGAATCCTATTTGAATATTTTCTTATCATATCTGCAGTCAGGTATTCAACGACTGAGTGATTTCCCTCTTCCCTTTTGGTTGGCTCTCTTTGTAGAAGGAACACGCTTTACACAGGCCAAACTATTAGCTGCTCAGGAATATGCAACTTCCACTGGATTGCCTGTTCCTAGAAACGTTTTAATTCCAAGAACTAAGGTGAACTATAGTTTCTTTTCCTTCTTCCTTACCATGCTTTTCCTAATCATGTCTAGCTACCAGTCTTAATTATTGTGTTAACAGCTATTATATAGACTTGCAAATCTTGGCAGTATTGCTGATGAAATTATATTACACTTCTACTGCTTGTAAATTTGGAATTTGGGATGATATCATTTTAGCTGGTCTGGGTATGTGATTAATTCAAATTGGTGATCATGTGGATGACGCTTTTATGAACTACATGTCTACATGCTAGGTTCATGTGGAGTGATTTGTGAAATGTTTTGAGGACTGATACAGACTTGGGTATTATGGGGTGTCTAAGTCCTACATCGAGTAGCATGGGTTCTATGGGATGCTTGGTAGAGTACTTAAATGGCTTAATTCTCCCTCCTCAACAACTAGCTTTTAGGGGAGGGTTCCCAAGTGCTTGAGTGCTTATGGAGGATATGACCAGTTAGGCTGAGTGAAGCATTGTAGAGTGTCAGCCATCAGGACATTGACTCTCAGGTGCAGTACTATGATAGGGGCTTGGGTTTTATGGGGTGTCTAAGTCCCACATTGAGTAGTATGGGATGCTTGGTGGAGTACTTAAGTGGCTTGGTTCTCCCCTTTAACAGCTAGCTTTTAAAGGAGGGATTGTCAAGTTCTTATCTAAGACTACAGAGAAATTGACCAAGATGTGTAGTCAAAGACGAGATATTTAAATTCCATAGTTTTTGACCTATAAGAATAGTAAATACGAGATGCTTTTACTTTTTCAAATTTAGTGTGTTTCTGCATTTTAAATTCTGAACATCTTGTGTATTTGGTTGCTGTCTTTTTGTCTCCTGTGGATCATGACTCAACAAAATTGGAAGATGGAACCTCTGTGATGCTAGATGGCATAATGGTTAATTGGTTATGGACTATGGTTATATTGAGGTTGTGAACAGTACTTTTGAGGGGGATATAATCTTGATGTATATAGGCATGAGCATGAGAGAAAATTCAGGAAAGAAGCTATATGGATTTTGTTGGGTTGAATTGTTATAAACTTTTGAGGTAAACGGTTTAGTGTGGTGTAGAAAATCTAAGAAAACTAGAGGAGAACTATATAAGTGACCTAGGAATTACATCTAGGGTTTGATTGTTTCACACAAAAAAATGATGCAATTTCATTTATCTGATAATCTATTAAAAAGAAAATGTTGAGAGGGAAACAGAACACAAGAGGTATGTGGTGGAATCTGTATGTCAATTACTAAGGGGGATATCTTGGGAGAACCACATCACAAAAAGCTAACCATTGTAGTTGGATAGCCTAAGGCCTTATAAACTTCCAATGTGGGACTACTCAAGTGATGGAAATGACTTGCATGATTCCATCATCAAGTCTCTTGCGTTACAACACAAAAGCTAGTAGTTGTAGTTAGAGCCTAAGTTTTATAAACCCTACAGTAGAATCTCATACATCCAATGTGGAACTCAAGTTAATATTATCTATACTAACTAAATCATAAGTACAAGGATTTACTATTACCCTAATTCCTGTAATTGGAGCAGTGTCTGTTGGATATTTAGAATGGTCCTGGAAAGACCAGGAATGGTAAAGATTTACAGTAACATGCAATTTCTGCAATCCTTTGGCAATTTGGATGGAGCAGCATGCTCGCATCTTTCAGGATGTCTTTCTGCTGCTAAACTTGTTTGGAGCAGGATTGTATTTATGGTCTTAAATGCCTATCTTTGATGTTCCTCTTTAGGTTTAAAGGGAGTTGCCATTTTTTTTATGAGCATATTAGTTGGGAAGCTTTGCTGCATTCTCTCTTGTTTTTATTTCTCTGCTGTATTTGGTTTTTTGTTTGTTGAAAGGTATTTTGCTGACTCCATGGTCTTACTACTTTTCTTTTGATAAAATTTAATTGTTTAAAAAATGGTTTAATATGACTACACGTGGTTTGAAAGTTTGAATTATGTTTTCCATCCTCAACTTGATATTTTACCTTTAATTTTTACTTTGGCTTACTTTTCTTTTTTACTATTTTGATGTTTAACATGAGTAATGCATTCAATCTGATCTATCACGCTATAATAGTCTGCATTCTTGCCATTGCCATTATATTAGGTTCAATTGTTCATTTATGTGGTTTACTCTGTAATATTTACTGTATTGTTTCTTTCAGGGATTTGTTTCTGCAGTAAGTCATATGCGCTCATTTGTTCCAGCCATTTATGATGTAACAGTGGCTATCCCTAAGAGTTCCGCTGCTCCTACAATGCTAAGACTCTTCAAGGGGCAACCTTCAGTGGTAAGCCAATCAAAATCAAGATAATGAAATAACTCCATCTTAAGTCTTCGTCAATTTTTTCTCTGCCTATAGTATGTGAGGAAGTGTCTTTGGATATTATAGTAGAAAGTATGGATAATAATGATATTATTTCTCATTAGTTCAGCAG